TATCCAACATGCAAAGTAATTTTCACTTTAAGATTAAAAATACTTTTATGCATCAGAAAATTTTAGAGTTTCACGTGTGAAATCTTTATTATCTCCAGATAGTTATCAAATGTTTTTTAAGAAAAAACTATATACTATACCTGTTATTTTCAGTAACAAATCTTTTTATGGGTTCGGTAGATTTGACTGATCTTGTAACCATAATAAAAAATTAGGAAATAAATATAGATTATGCTTCTTTCTTTCTAGAATGAACACAAATTATAACACGAAAACATAATTGTTTAGAAGAAATAGCTTAAATCTCTAATATTATACATTTATATATATTTATTATTTTTATTATATTGACCTTTCAACCGTGCCTGGCTAACAATACAGAAATTACAATGAGGAGGCTCACATGCACTCATGTACTGTATCAAGTAACATAAAACTGACCTTTGGTCTGTGCAAAGTAACTTGTCTTGGCTGTGTTTTAGTTAACTATTATTTTGTATATAGATTATTGCTATTTTAAAATAAGTTCTTAAACTTATTTTTCTTAAAACATGGAGCAGTGAATAAAGAAGTTAAGCAAACAATTATCTCTTCTAGTTATGACCTTTGTACTCAGTTGCTGCGTGATGTAGGTTGCTATGCCTTTAAAAATTTTGCACATGGAGGATATGAAAAAAAATATTTTTTTTAGGTTTTATATATATACATTTGAATAACTAAAAAAAATCATAAATTACTACATCAAAACCGTAGAATTCAACTATAATTTATCGAGCTTAGTAACTAAGATGTATTTTACTCTTAAATAAAATATGAAATTTGGAGCAGACTAAAGACATAGCCTACTTCATTGAAATCTTGGTTCAAAAGAAATGGCACCAAACTCGTTAAAATGGCTGAGAAAGCCACTAGGGGACATTCTGAGATTTCAATTGGCTATTCATGTCATATATAGAAGTATATATAAGGGAGCATTTCCAACAAATGGAAAGAGATGAATAACTAAAAAAAATCATAAATTACTACATCAAAACCGTACAATTCAACTATAATTTATCAATCTTAGGAACTAAGATGTATTTTACTCTTAAAAAAATGTGAAATTTCAAGCAGACTAAAGACATAATCTACCTCATTCAAATCTTGGTTCAAAAGAAAGAAATGGTACCAAGCTCGTAAAAATGGTTGAGAAAGCCACTAGGGGGACATTCTCAGATTTCAATTGGCTATTCATGTCATATATAGAAGTGTATATAAGGGAGCTTTTCCAAAAATGGAAAGAGGTGGGCGGGGTGCCACTGTGTTTGATTTATTACATGAGCATTATCTTAACAAATAGAAAAGATAAGAGGCTCTTGTTTTATATTCTAGCTTGTCAATATCTGTAATTTGAGTTTTTGATTTGTATGAAACTATAGACTTAGTATTTTGACTTGACAAACATCTAATTTGAACCATTGCAGCATTCAACATACCACGTGACAAACAAAAATTGATGTTTATCTGATTTTTTATATTTACTTTTAAATTACGAAATTGAGTAATGCATAGTTCTAAAATTTGAATTATAATCTACAGTTTGATACCAAACATAAATTCATGAAATATTCGTTCAATAAAATTTTGAATGCGAGTCAATAAACAAAATGACATGGCCTTTCTCCTATGACCCATCTCGAAAGGGTTAAGAGGTGAAGGAAGTGCAGATGCCGGATCCTGTGTCTGGCACCATATGTGCCCATTTTGGTAGGCAGCTTGCTTGACACGTTTCTCAAGTGCTGTGTATGTAGGCAGAATAGCAGCTGGTGATTTCTTCTTTGAGAACAATTTTTTCTGGCTTCATTGACATCAGTGCATGTGCTTGTGCAGTCTTACCTGAGTATAACATATCTTTCTATTGTACTCGTATACTACTCTGACACGTGATCAGAGGCAGAGGCTAGACTAAGCAGGGTGTGAGTAAGCTCTGGCAAGGCATTCCATGCTGATTTTTTTTACCATGCCCAACAAAAGTTGACACAGTGCTACAACCAGTCATTGCATGGAACATTGGAAGGGCAAGTGATTTGTCTCAGCCAAGAGCAGCAGATATTTTATGTGTGGCCAGGTAGCGGTACCTCTTCCCTGATTTGAAGGCTAAACAAAGAACCCAACATAAACAAACGAAAAATCAAGGAATCC